ATATATATATACATTTGTGTGTGTATATATATACACATTATATATATACATTTTTATTTTGAGACAAGGTCTTGCTACATAGTTCAGGCTGGCCTTGAACTCACTGTGTAGCCCAAACTGCCTTCAAACTTGGGGCAATCCTCTTGCCTCAGCCTCCCAAGTTTTGGGATTACAGACAGATACCAACACACCTGGCTAGAATTTTTTTTTTTTTCTTTTTTTGCCTTTTGGTCTCTTTGAGGCAGGTCTCACTATGCAGTTCAGGCTGGCATTGAATTCACAGTGATCCTCTTGCCTCAGCTTTCCGAGTGTTGGGATTACAGGTGTGTGCCACCACGCCCAGCTGGCTAGAAGGGATTACAGGTGTGTGCCACCACACCCAGCTGGCTAGAAAATTCTTGGGGTAAAATTTCTCCTCTTTTCATGACGACTTGGGCCACTTTACTAACTGCTTGGAGATCAGGAGCTAGCAGCCTTCCAGGTCAAGGTCTATCAGACCCCTGGCAGCATGATCCAGTTTCAGCCAGCAGCTCTGGGCTGAGCTGTTTAGGGGAAACAGGTGAGTGGGGTATTTTGAGACTTGGTACAGGAGCTCTAGAGAAAGAGTGAGGGAAAGAATAGGAGTCTGCCATCAATTCTAATCACCAAGAGATCTGGATTAAAGGGCACACTTGCACCCACACTTCGAAGCTACTATCCTTGATTCAGGCCAGGAAGTAGTACCAGGTTTTAGTAGAATGCCAGACAGTTTGGATATTCTGCCCATTGTGCTTAAGACAAAGGAAAATTCCAAGGCAGACAGGACAACTGCACAAGCCCTGTATAGTTTAGGAGAGGCAGAAAAGCATTTGGCTCTCAGGTCAAATCCCAGCTATGACTCTTCCCACTGGTGTGCCTTTGGACATGTGTCTTAACCTCTCTGAGCTTTAGTTTTCTCACTTGTGAGAATAACCACCTCACAGGACGACTGTAAACCTCTAAAGAAGATGAGCGTACAACATGGCCCAAGCCCAATGCCTAGGTCCCCAGTGAGTGTGTTTCCTTTAGGGGACAATTCGCACAAGAGCCGAGCACTTGCAAGGGCCGGGGACTGGAAGAGCCGCTGAGGCTGGCCGTCTGCACAGGCCGGGCGCCCCAGACGCCCAGCTGTGGCAGGGACCGGTAGCAAGTTCTGTTCCCCTTTCCTGACTCACGGTCATGTGAGGGGGAGCTGGCGGACTTGTCACAGCCCCGAGACCACCGAGCCCCAAAAGAGAACTTGGGAGCGCGGAGGCTTCTGTTCAGAAGGGCGGACAGAGTTCCAGAGTCGCCTCCCATCCCCATAGGGGTCCGACTCCTCCGACCCAGGGTCGCCTCCGCCCTCCCCCACGCACCCCTAGGCAGCAGCCCCTTCAGGCCTCGCAGGCTACCGTACCGGAAGGTGTCTTCGATCTCATTGATGGTTGTATCCTTCTCTACCACCAGGAAATTAGGGTGGCGATTCTTGTTAAGCTCCCCTATGCCGCCCAGGAGAAAACCAGTGACTGTGTCTTCATCTCCGATCACTGCGATTAGCTTCCCCCTCCCCGCCATCCCCGCAGCTGGCAGCGACAGCTTCTACACCAGAAGTCGCCAAAGCCCCGCCCCCCGCAGTGCAAGACCAAACCGGCCCAGCCCCTCCCTTCAGACATGCGCAGTTCCACCGCTGCCGCTTCGGTACATGCGCATTAGTAGCAACGCCGCCTTTTACCGAATACGCCTGCGCTGTACAGACAGCCCTGAACCAGGGGACTACGATTCCCAGGGCGCTGCGCGGCACACGGCATCTCTCTGGCTTTTGTTTACTTTCAGTCCGGGTTGGCTCACTCGCTCCATCGCGGATTTGAGTTGAGCGCTGTTAGATGCTGAGACCCCCAAGGAAGGTCGGAGTCTGGCCGTGTACGCCTTACATGAGGACGACACAGTTAACAATTAATACATTTTTGTTAATTACTAAGGGAAGAAACAAGTTACTGATAATACTGTCTCGCGAAGTAGAATCAAGGGAACAGGCTAGTACAAAGCACCGTGTTAGTTGCTAAAATGTGAGACGTACGGGGAAGCACACATGCCTAGTAACTCCCCAGGAGAGGGAGTGCACGAAGAACACTTCCCCGAAGAGCTGGCCACCTGAGCTGAGACTTGAAGGACCAGCAAATTGAAAGGTATAGAAATGAGGGCAAGAGGGTGTTCTAGGCAAGAGGAACGGCATTGCAAAGGCTTGGCAGCTAGAGAGTCTTAAGAGAAAGCCAATCTGGGCGTTTTCCTGAAAACAAAAGAATTTTAAGTGAACGGCTGATATGGCCAGATTAATGCTTTAGAGCTATCACTGAACTGTGCTGTGGACAGAGGCAAGACTGGGGGAGGGAGCCAAAGTGGGCAGTCCCTGTAATGAGAATGTGGAGAAATAGATAAAGTTAAAGGATAGTTAGAGCAGGAGTGGGCGAAACTGCTTTATGGATTGTGTTTGGGGGTTGAGATAGAGTAACTCAGGTGACTTCCAGGCATCTGACCCGTGCAGCTAAACGGACAGGAGCAGCATCCCTGATGGAGTAGAGTTTGTGAGATGACCAGGTTGTAAGAGAAAGGCCACGCTTTTTCCTCCCTTTCAAGAAATGGGGACCCCTGGTATTGGTATATGGTTTGTGATTTTGGAGCACTTGGGATACCTGTATGGTCTGGTTTAGTAGCTGTGTGTACAATAGGCCTGGGCTTTGGGGGCACCTGGCTCTGACTCTCAGCCCTGCTACTTTGAGGTTTGATTTTGGGCTCACTGAGATTCTGGGTCTTGGTCTCTTTGGATAACAGTAGCCCACTTCCCAGGGCTGAGCACCCAGTGCCCACCGCGACAGTGAGAGCAGCTCTGTTGATCTATAGACACATCAACCCACAGGGGGAGGACAGCAAGTCACCTGGGAGAACCTCACTGCAGGGGCAGGGGATGAGGGGCAGAGAGTGAGATGGCTGTGAGGGTGTAGTAGAAGTACCTGGTCTGGCACCTGGCACAGAGCTCGCCTTCAGTGGCCGCAAGAGAACAAATCTGCCTTTAATGGGATAATAGGAGCTGGGATACCATCACATTCATCATGACTTCTTTATTCAGCTGTCATTTATCAAATGTGACCCCAGTTAGGAGCTGAAGATGTAAGATTAATGAAACCTGATTTCTACGCTTAGAGGCTGCCTGCAGGACTAGGGGGAAGGTAAAAAAATAGCAGAGGGTGAGGAATGGACACAGAGTAAAAAGAAGCTCTGAAAATATCCTGAGGGGCACATTCAGGGTGAGGAAGGGGCAAGTACCTCCTCTCAGGAGGGAAAGGGAAAAAAGAAAGGAAGGGAAAAATGCAGGAAGGGAAAAAAGAAACTTAAGAGAGGAGTGAGGCGCAGACAGACCACAGAGAGAAGAGGAGGGTGGTTAGGAGCTGGAGCCAAGGGTTTGGGGTTCTTTTCTGGCAGTCCCACTACTAAGGGCCTGAGGGCTGGTCTCTTGTTGCAGGATCCATTGAAAGAAACACGTCTGCCTTGCTCTACCACTGAGTTGTTCATTCACATGTTCATTCAGACCGTTATTGGCTCTCTCATGCCCAGGGAGGTCAGGCTGACACACAAGGCGGAAGTGGATACCTGGGCCTGGATCAGGGTAGTAAATGTAGCCAGAGACATGTCTAATGGCAGAGTCCAGCAGAGTTTCCTGTGGACTAGGAAGCCAAGGGTGGAGAGGCAACAGTGTTTCCAACTAGAGGCCCAAACTGCAACACAGGTGCCTGGGAAAGTAGAGGCCGGGAAGGTTGTTAGAGGAGGGTGCATTGGGGATCGAGCATGTTGTTCCACTCGAGTGGTAGGGGCATTTCAGAGGCCTGGGGCATTTCAGAAGCCTCCTTAGAAAGAGTAGATTACTTAGCCTGGAGCAGGAGGGAGCCACAAAGGAAGGTAAACCGAAAGAGGGCATACTGCCTCTGCAGGGACTTCCTCGAGCTACAGCATGGACTGTGGAATGGAGGAAGTTGGCCAGGACCTGGAGAATGGTTCAGCAGGTGCAGGAGCGCAGGGGGAGCGCTGAGTGAGATCACCGCTGGAGGTGGGCAGCAGCAGGTTTGACCCAGGACCAGGAATGAAGGTCCTGCTTGCCTGTTGTGTGAAGACCATGCCTATTTGAGTCCGTGCTGTCTTAGATTCATTCGAAGAGCATTCCTTAGGTCAGGCTGAACTGAAACTGGCCGTCTGGAAATCCTGAGGCAGGCAGCCTTTGCGACATAGTGTCCACTCCCCTCTACCATCTCCCACCTAGCTGAGGACCACGACCCCCTCCCAGTCTCTCAAGCTTTCTGCCAACATCCCAGCCCTCAGGTCTGCCCTAGGCCCTTCCCCTTGGCCTGGGCCAGTCCTCCAGGGAACGGCCATCCCGTCCCTGCCTCCCCAGGGCGGACTTGGAGCCAGCCAGTCACCCAGAGCACACCCACAAGGAACAGCCAAGCCTCTGCGACAGCCGCACTTTATTTGGAGTTTTCCACCTAAGCAGCTCCCAGCTGAGCTGCATGACTTGTGCAAAAGACCCCCCAGAAAGCTGGGCCTCGCAGTGTGTAAAAAAGGCCCCCCATGGGGCAGAGCTGTGCAACCGTAAAAAAGAAAGAGAGAGAGAGAGAAAGAGAGAGGGAGGGAGAGAGAGAGAGATGAGGAGAGAGAGATCAGTCCCCCAGGAAGCCTGGTTTGGGTGGGGTACATAGAGCTGGGGCAGTCCGCATGCTGCTTGTTCCAGGTCTGTTTTCTTCTCTGATTATGCTTTCTTTTCCAAGTCTGTAACACTCCGGGGCGGTGGCCACCACCAGAGAGGCCAGATGTGGTCCTCGGGCAGGGCGGCCCGGCTGCAGCGTGGTTTGGGGGTAACCTCTTTCACACACAGACGCCCCCGCACCATGCTCCCCCACTGGCCACGGCTCCAGCAGGAAACTCAGGGCTCCCCCAGCCCCTGTGCTGCCCTGTGTCACAGCCGCTGCCTCTGAGCCTGGCCCCATCTCCCCTCCCGGCACATTCAAGGGAAGACACTGGCCCGAGACAGATAAAGCCTCTACTCCTTGAGCGCAGGGAGGCTGTGCCATTCAAGTCACACCCAAGGCAGGTGTCTGTAGTGCTGGCTCTGTGCAAGTGTATCTGGGTGTGGCACACTGGTGTGTGGATGGGTGTGAGTGCTTGGCCGGAGGTGGGGGCTGAGGCTGGGGGAGGCGCTTCTGGGATTCAAGGCACATTGACTTTGAAGGGGCTTCCAGGGACACTCTCATCACCCCACTTGACAATGAGGATATAGTCCCCTTTCTCCTTGACAGTGTAGGTGACATTGTACACCCGGTTCCCTATGTGCTTCACGTACACCTCCTCACAGGGGGTCTTGGGCCCGTGCACACCCACCATCATCATGTTGGTGCCTGGGGAGGAGACAGAGGGACGGGCTCACACCAGGGCCCCAAAGGCCCGCAGCCCCCACCCTGCTCCCGCCCCCACCCTGTCCCCTCAAGCGTGCCTGCTTTGCTGCAGTCCACTGTGAAGGAGTTCTTCTGACCCACAAAGGCCTGGGACAGCCCGGGGCCCCGCGTCACCACCTTGCTGGCATCCGAGGAGAATTTGGGGATGGAACTATAGCTGGAGCCGCGGCTGGAGGATGACTTGGTCACAGTCTCCACCAGAACAGTGGACGTTTCGTGAAGGCTGTGGCCTCCAGACAGCCGGGGACCTGAGGGGCAGAAGGGGTGGCCATGGACCCAGCTGGAGGGGAGCCTGTGCTTCCCTAGGTCAGCCCTGGGCCAGCACTGACAGCTCTGTGACACTCAGGGACCCAGACCATTGCTTGCTCTGCGTTGCCCAATGTCCTGTTCTCAGCTGTGACGTCCAAGCAGCAGAGCCCCGTTTCAAACAAGTGTCCGGACTACCAGCTCCAGTTCCTGCTTATCCCTATATTGGCCTCTGAGACTCTGTCCCTCATCCTTCTAGGCTCAGCTAGAAGCTAACTCAAGCGAACTCACACGGTAAGAGCCTTGCGTTAAAGAGGAACACACCGCATGGCTAACAAAGTCCTGCAAACAGCTTTAAAAAGGGAAGCTTGACAAATATTTTTCTTCTTCAAAGCAAGAAACGAGGGAAGCCTGGAAGAAGAACATTAAGCTAGTGATCGGGATGCCGCTGCAGGTGGACCAAAGTAAGAGGAAGACTTGGAGTTTTTGTATTTTGGGACTGGGAATCGAATTCAGGACCTTGTGCTTGCCAGGCAAGCGGAGTTGGAGCTTTTTAAATGACTATGCCGGACTCCACATAATGGAGTGATACAGAAAGCCAGGCCTACCCCCACCTCCTTCCTGGTAACTTGGCCATGATGTTGGGGGAAGACAATGGCCAGATAAAAACAGCCACTAGCGCTGTCCATGCTGGGCTGGGCTATAGACCTCCCCTACCTGGGGCACTCACCTGTGACCTTGGCTTTAAAGGGGCTGCCCACGATGTGCTGGGGGCCACCATACTTGATGGCGATGAGGTAGTTGCCAGGGGCCATGGGAGTGTAAGTGACCACATGGCCCTCAGGACACTCCCGACAGTCCAGCTGCACCTTGGAGGGACCATCGATGGTGACAGACAAGGCCCCTGAGCCTGCATTCAGGGTGTTCACGATGAACTCTGATGACACACCTGGGGGACAGAGGGGGCCAGGCTGTAGCAGGAAGAGATGCAGCCTGGAGTGACGCTGGGCCCCAGACCTTGGGCTGCTGGGAGGACTCGGAGCTCAGCGAGCATTATTCCTGCCTCTTAGGGCAAGGAGCACTCAGGCATCCCAGAGCCCACCCCTGTGCTCCAGCTCAGGCACTCACCAGTGGTGCCTCCCTCAAGCCCAGGACCATAGGCTGACACCAAGCCTGGGTCCCCAGCTTGGCTCTGCTCTCCTACACGGATCTTGAAGGGGCTTCCAGGGATGTGGGCACCGTTGAACTTGACATCGATGGAGTGGACGCCATTCTCATGGGGGATGAAGCGGATGGTATGCTTGTCTGAGGGCAAAGCATTGATGGTAAACATCCCTCCTTCCTAGGAGGTCCTGTCGGGCAGGGGTGGCAGGGGCAGGGCCAGCTCACCATTGTCCAGCTCGGAGACGTAGCACTCCTCCACCGCCCCCGATGGCGTGTGGACCCTTGCATCGATCACGCCCCGTGCTCCATTCAGCTGCACTGCGAAGGATGCTGGCTGGTTCACCTTGAGCCCCGTCTCCTGCAAAGGCCACAGAAGATGCTCAGACTCCTGGAGCAGCTTCCCTGCCGCCCAGCCTGCTCTCCCCATGAGCCCAGTGGAGGGACCAGCCTTCCCAGTCCCAGTCAGGCCCTGCCAGCCAGCCCAGCTTGCAGGGAGGGACAGAGGAGGCTGGGGCTCGTCTGACGTCTGCATCCACTTGCCAAGGGTGGGGCGGGCACCACCTGAGCCAGGCTGGGTACTACAGGGACGTTGTGTTCCTGTCCTGGCTGAGGAAGCAGAGGCCCGACACTGGGCGACACTGGCCTAGTGGAAGAGAGGCAAGGACCTGACAGTGCTGTGTGGGGTGCGGGTGCCCCAGAGCTCAGATGTGGACAGCTGTGTCTGGCCTGGCCTGGGTGCGCTTCTGGGGAAAGATGGGCAAAGGAGAAAACCGGAGGGAGCACAGGGCGGGCTCTGGGGAAGTGGCTGAGCCCAAGCTGGGGTGGAGACTGGCTCTACGGTGGGGACGGATGTAGGCGGGCTCAGTGGGGGCTGATGGGACTATCCTGAGGGGCAGCTGGAGGGGGATGCATGTGGGGTACACCTCCCTACTCCTTAGCAAGCACCTGTCCGTGTGCCCCCTACATGTAACAGTGTGATTGCTGAGGACCTGCGTGGCACATACTCTTGATAGAAGGAAAGGAAGATGTGCTCACTCTAGAAATCCTGACAGGAGAAAGCAGAGCTCCCCCCGCTGCACCAGGTGAGGTAATCTGGTCCTGAGGCTTCTTGCATATGTGTAGGAGCTAGCAGGGCCTTTCTGCAAACTGAGTGACTCTTATCTAATGTTGATTTTATATTATTCTCATAAAGTTTTTAGTACTTTGGGAAGGAAGTGGAACAAACTCAGGACAAGAAATGACAGGAGGCAGTAAGGACAGGAAGAAACAAGGCATAGAGTGACAGAGTGGGGGCAAGTAGGTGGGGACCCAGACTCTCTTCCCCAAGTGCCCCACCTCTGGGGACCATCTGCCCCTTCCAAGGTCACTGCTAAACTCCTGGCCATACGAGCCTGCTACCCTCGACTCCTGTCTTCCAGTTAGCAGAGAGGCCAACCTCAGCACACACCTGGAGGCTGGTGACTGTGAGACGCCGTGCGTCGTCAGACAGGGAGGCCACCGGCACCACGAAGGGGCTGTCTGGGATGTGCTCATCGTTGAACTTGATGGAGACCTCATAGTCACCTGGGAAGGGCAGCCAGTCAGCAAGGCCCTAGCTGGGAGAAGTGGGGCTGATACCCACATTCCCAGCCTCATCCCAGGACAAATTCCTCAGAGCAGGGCTCAGCTCTGAGGAGAGACCAGCATCCCAGGGGTGGGTGGAGGGAGATGAGAGGAAAAGAGCGGAGCCCGTGAGGGGAGTCATGCAGCCCCAGGCATCTTCAGCCTGGTCAGTTGGCCGAACATGGTCTGGAAGGTCAGGCTGGCGCAGCACCACTGGATACTTACCTGGCTCCTGGACAACATAGGAGACACCACAGGAGCCATCTTTGCGGTCCTCGAATGCAATCTCCGCCTTGCTGGGGCCCTCCACGGCAATGGACAGGCCCCCAGCACCAGCTTCTCGGGTCCAGATGCTAAACTCCGCTGGATTTAGGGAAGCGGGCCAGGGGTGGCACTTGAGTACCGCTGCCCCTCATGCCGGCTGCCCTGGCCCCAAACTCCCTCCTGGGCCCTTGCCCCTTACCTGGCACGCCGGCCACGCCTCGCTCCAGCCCTGTGCCTCCAGCGCGCACCTTATGGGCACCTCCTTCACCCAGCGGCCCCACAGTGAACTGGAAGGGGCTACCAGGCACGTGCTGGCCACGGTACTTGACAGTGACCGTGTGGGGCCCCATCTCCTGGGGCACGAAGCGCACGCTGTAGGCACTGTCCTCCCCCTCGACGATCTCTGCGGCTTCTGTCTTGCCGGACGGACTGGTCACCTGTGCGGTCATGTCCTGAGAGCTGGCCTCCCCTGTAGGGTTGGGAAGTGTCAGGGCCAGCAAAGGCTGCTTCTGCCCCGATCCCCCGTGAAACCCCATCCTCTGCTCAGACCAGCCCAGGCTGTGTGGGCCAAGTCTCACCCTCTCAGCCTCCCACAAGGACCCCCGCCCAGCCCTCTGCTCTCTACTCACCTTCCTGCTGCCGGGTGATGCTGCCGAAGGAGCCCAGGCGTTCCCGGCCCAGGAAGTCCCCAAAAACAGCAGGGAAGGGGTCCCCGCCGACCTGGGTGGACTCCTCCACTCGCACCTCACGCTTGGTCTCCCCGCCCCGCGTCTTGCTGATCTCCGTCCGCTCTGTGCGGGTGTATGTGTGGCTGCTGCGTGTGAAGGTGCGTGTCAGGCGCTCCTGGGCAGATACCATCTGGAACCAGTTCCCTGTGGGATACAGGAGGTGAGGTGAGCAGTGAGCAAGGGACAGGGAGGCCAAGGCAGGGTCTGGCCTCTCCCCCGCCCTCCACCCCAGCTCCTCCCTGCTCTACCTGGGATCTTGAGGTTGAGGTCACAGGTGCTGCCGATGGTGGCGATGGAAGGCGCCTGTCTACGCCGGGTGATGCTTTCCTTCATGCGGCCCTCGCCGGTCACCTTCACAGTGAAGGGGCTTCCTGTGGGGTGGAAGGGTGGGTCAGGTGCAAAACTGCCTGTCTCCCAGTCCCTGGTCTACCCCACCCGGCCCGTGCCCAGCGCCTACCAGGCACATGCTTGTCAGCGAACTTTATGTTGATGATGTAGGTGCCGGGCTCGGTGGGGCAGTAGGTGACTTTGCATGTGCCGTCCTCCATGTCCTCGCAGTTGATGTCCACCTTGCTGGGGCCTTCAATGCTCAGCCCCAGGCCCCCATAACCTGGGAAGTGGGAGGGACATGTCTTCCTCAGCCCTGTGCCACCCACGCAAGGGTCTCCCTGCCTCAAACTGCAGGCCCTGCCCAGAATGGGCACCCAATGCATGTAGTGACCACTAAGCAAAATGGTGCAGAGGTAGGCAGAGGGCTGAGTGGGACCCTATCCCCAAGGGCAGTGGGCCTTCTCTTAGCAGTGAGAGATTCCACGGGACGTTCACTTCCCTGAACGGACCCAGGCTGTAAGCCCGAGAGAGATGGGCCAGGAAGTCCAGGCAAGAGTATGGCCAAGTGGGTGTGGGGCGGGAAAGAAAGACAAGCACCCACCAGAGGGGCCAGTGGGAATGGCGCTCTCAGGGCAAAAAGTACCTGCATTACGTGTGTCCACGATGAACTCTGCCACCTGGAAAGTGTGCCCCTCCGACAGGCCCTTGCCCCAGACTCGGACCTTGCTGGCATCCCCAATCTCAGACGGTCCCACCAGGATCTTGAAGGGGCTGTTGGTAACGTGCTTGCCGCCCTTGCGCACACTCACCACATGCTCGCCGACCTCCTTGGGGGTGAAGGAGATCCCTGGGGAGAGGGGATATCAAGCAGAGCAAGCAGAGAGGGCCCCTCATCCCCCGAGATGCTCCTGGAGACCCAAGCTCACCGATGTGCCGGTTGGGCAGGCGCTTCAGCAGGCAGGGCTCCTCGTTGCCCGAGGGTGCTCGGATGCTGGCAGTGAGCAGGCTCAGGTCACTTTCTGTGATCTTCAGTGACACGTCCGTGGAAGTGCCCACGTTCAGCTGTGAGGTCCTCATCGAGTCATCGCCTGGGGAGTAGTGGGGTGCTGAGCTGCTGTGACTCCAGGCAGGCTCTGCACACATGGGGCTCAGGACCCCAAGGGCAGACCCTGCTGGACTCAGCAGAGCCCCGCGCTGCTGCCAGGCATAGAAGCTCAGGTCTGCAAGAGCTGGGTGTGTATCACATTCGCTGGCAGCCACCGCAGAAGGCCCAGCACCCCAATTCCTTCCTGGCTGCCTCAGTCCTGTGAGGGTCAAACCCCTAAATGGACTATTAGGTACCTAATCCTGAGTCTGTGATACTGTGGAAATGAGACACGGGGCAGACCGCCAGCCCCCTTCCTTGCTGTGTGGCTCTGGTGGAAGCGCTTAGCCTCTCTGGGATGGGTTTTCTCATTCAGCCAGAAGATGGCCAACACCTGGGCTTCTCAAGAGTAACATCACAATGAAGTGAGATTCCGCCTAAGCCTGGGAGCGGCTGGATGGCCTCCCCTGCTGTGGAGGAGTGTTCTTCGTGTTTATCCAAAAACTCCTCCTCCACCTTCAGGGGTCTTCTGCACAAACGCCCTGAGTAAACTGCACACCCGTTGTGTTTTCTGTGAACGTGCGTCTGTGTGTTCGTGCTGTAGGCTGTATGTGTCCAGATGTCACCCACCTGTGATCTTGGCTGTGAAGGGGCTCCCTGGGATGTGCTTGTCATCAAAGCGCACGATGATGCTGTAGTCTCCAGGTGCTGTGGGCAGGTAGGACACCGTGCAGGTGCCATCCTTATTGTCCTTGCAGGTGATCTCTGCCTTGGATGGGCCCTCCACAGCCAGGGACAGGCCCCCTATAGGTGGAGATGGGGCTGAGGTCCGAGGTCCTGCTCTTGCCTATGTATCCGGCTTGTCTTTCCACCCCTCCTCGCCCCGTCCCTGCCTCTCTCCTCACCTTCCCCGGCATCCTTGGTGACGATGGTGAAGGTGGCTGGCTTGTTGACCATACCATGGCTCAGGCCTGGCCCATAGGCACTGACGTGGCGGCTGTTGATGGCGTCCACGTAGAACTGCAGGGGGCTTCCTGGGGGGACAGGGAGGGGGCTGGGTCAGCACAGGGACAGGGGTTTTCTGTGCCTATCTTGGACCCCACACCTTCCAGCAGCCTCCCTGCTGAGCCCTGCATCTCTGCCATGGGGACTTGGCTCGTGGAAACCTGCCGCCCACCAGAACATGAGAGTCCCCGGAGTCCCCATGGTGTCTGCACACAGTGGCACGCGACTGCTCAAGGAGGGCGGGCAGGGCTGGCTCTGGGCCCCGCAACCCACTCACCGGGGATGTGGTTGCCGTCATATTTGATCCCCATCTGGTGCAGGCCCTTCTCGGTGGGCGCATACCTCACCGTGATGGTGCCGTCCTTGTTGTCGGTGATGTTGGGCCGAGCGGTCTTCCCAGAGGGCATCCTCACCTCCCCTGCAGGGCACAGTTACATGGGGACCCTGGTTTCTCCCGCCAGAAGCCCCTGCTGCCCCAGACTCTGCTCCTGTGTGGCTCTGCTTTCACCCCGAAGGCCACGTACTGGGGCACAGGTTGGAGCAGCAGGGTGAACCTGAACCCTGAACTGGGAGACAGGTGGCTTACGCCTGAGTTTTCGCTCTGCCCAACTTGGTTTGTGACCTGGAGTAGCCTGTTCCCCCTCTCTGGCCCCAGTTTTCAACTCTAGGAGGCTCGGTCTCACGCCAGGTTCTCCAGGCCATACCTGTGAGCTCCCCTTTCTGCACAGTGAAGGGAATGACCAGGTTGAAGGGCCTCAGCATGGACTCCAATGGCTCCACGGGCACCACGGGCTCCTCTGTGGCCTGTGGCAGGTGAGAGGAAATGGTCATTGGCTGCGGAGGGCCTTGGAGTGCGGCCTGCCTCATGACCGAAGTTGGACAGAGCAAGGAGAGAACAAGATGGTCAGTGGTGAGACCCGAGGGGCCAAGAGGTGTGGAAGTTGCAAGAAATGGGGTGCTGAGCCTGCTTGGAGCTCCCTCTGCCCAGCCTGTTGCCCGCCTGCTCTCCAAGAGGCCCCCAAACCATGCCCCAGCATTGGCGGCAGAAGAACAGAAGGAAGAAATGGAGGAAGGCCAGGAGGAAGGAGGACGAGGTCCACCGTGGCAGGCACAGTACCCAGTGTGTGGGGCAGGTGCCGGGCCGGGGAGGGGCGTAGGGCTGGCGCAGTGGTAGCACTTCAGAGGGCTCCTCCACGTGGGGCAGGGGGTCACACGCCTGGGGAGGCAAGGCATGGGGGCACAGGGTGTGACTCAGAGAATGGCCGGGGGAACCAGACCTGGGTGGGTGTCTCAGGTGCTCCACCCTGGTGCTCCTGCAGGGCTGCCTTTGTGGAGACAGATCTGAGGGCAGCAACCCAGGGCAGAGGGGAACGCTGCATTTCTAGAGTTCTGACCCCACCTCAGCCCAAAACAGAGCTGTGCTCACCTCCTACTTTGGGAGGCTTCCGGACCCCAAGGGTCCCAGAGGTGAGGACAGATTCTGGGATCTCTTGCTGCTGCTAAGAATGTGGGTCCCCTCCCACTCCCCACCAGCCACTGTCTGTCCCTGGCAGGGCTGCGAGCTTACCAGAACATGGAAGGGGCTGTTGGGGATGTGCTCGCCCCCAAAGCGGATGGTGATGACGTACTTGCCCGGTTCGGGCGCGGTGTAGTAGATGTCAAAGGTACCATCGTGGTTCTCAACCACATCCACGTCAAGCTCTGCCCCATCTGGCGTGGACACCGTGCAGGTCACCTTCCCCTTGCCAGCTGCCTTGGCATCCACTGTGATCACAGTCTCCTCTCCGATCTGGATTCGGGGACCCAGGCAGGCACCTGCCACATGGAAAAGCCAGGTCAAGGGCTGTGGGAGCTGTGCCCAGTCCTCGCCCTGAGTTCCCAGCTGCCCCCCAAGGGCCCAGCCCACAGCAAAAGAGAAGAGGAAGACACTTACCCAGGCCATGGCCTCCAATGGACACTGGAAAAAGAGAAGAGTGTTAGGCCCTGCAGCATTCAGGGTGGGTCTGGAGTGGAAGGGGCTGGAAGAGGACAGGCTCTCTGGCCAGCCACCCCTGAGGACTGCGCAGGGGATAAGGACATGCTCTGAGGGGTTGAAGGGCCCACCTGTGACAAGGCACTTGCTGGCATCCCCCGTGGGCAGGGCATGGATGCGGAAAGGTGAGTAAGGGATCTCGTCGCCGCCATACTTGATGGTGATGGTGTATCGGCCGCTCATGTCTGGTAGGTAGGACACAGTGTACGTGCCATCCCCGTTGTCTCGGATATTGGCCTTCTTGGGCTTACCCTCGGGGTCCTGGGGGAACAGAAAGGTCAGGGCCTGCTTGTGCCCACAGCCTTACTGGGAAATAGGTATGTAGGACTCACCAGGATCTGGACGGTGAGCAGCCCCTCCCCAGCATCCCGAGCATCGATGGTGAACTCCACTGGCAGGCTGGCAGGGATGCCAGAGGCATTGAGGCCGGGGCCGCTGGCCCTCACCTTGCTGGCATCGTGGGCTGGAAGCACCTTGATCTTGAAAGGGCTTGAGCGACAGGAAGGACGGACAGTTGGCTGAGGGCTGGGGGCATGGGGTCCCATCTCATCTTGGCCTTGGGTCCCCCCACATATACACACAGGCAGGAGAGATGTCTTTGTGGGGAAGAGGGCCCATTTCCAGGAGCCAGGTCACTCCCTGAGTACCAGGGCAGGTCACCCAGGGACTCCTTTGACATAGCCTGAGCATTCCTTCACCACTCCCTGGAAAAGGCTAGGGTAACTTTAAAAACAAGGGCCTTCCTCATAGCCAGGCGTGGTGGCGCATGCCTGTAATCCCAGCACTCAGGAGGCTGAGACAAGAGGATCGTTGAGGGTTTAAGACCAGCCTGGGTTACAAAGTGAGCTCAAGGCCAGCCTGAACTGCATAGCAAGACCCTGTCTCAAAAAGACAAAAAAGAAGGACTGGGGATATAGCTCAGTGGCATAAGCGCCTACCTGGCAAGCACAAGGTCGTGAGTTCGGTCCCCGGTACCGCAAAAAAAAAGACAAGAAAGAAAAAACAAAAAACAAGGGCCTCTCTCATTAGCTGTTTCTGTAAGTGCAAACTTTGGTGTCAAAGTCTACCTCCGGGGCAGAGAGCTCTGGGGAAGAGCAGGATGGAGCAACCAACAGATGAGGCTCAGATGAGAGGGGCTTTCTCCAAGGTCAGCAGTGGCCCCAGGAGAAGCCTCCAGGGCCGAGCTGCTCCTTACCTGCGTGGTACCTCCTGGTCAGCGTACTTGACGGCTACTGTGTAGGGCCCGTCGGTGGCAGGAGTGTAGTGGACAGTGTGGGTGCCATCCCCTTTGTCACGCACCTCTACGGGCTCGGCCACACCTGGGCAAGGGGAGCAGGGTCAGCAGAGCCTCCTGTCTCCTTACCCTCCTCCTTTCCCCAACCCTGACACTCTATACCTGTAGGGCCCAGCACAGCCACCTGCAGGGGGGCCCGGCCGGCTTGACTGCAGTCCACTGTGAAGGTCTGGGGTACCCGGGCCCTGACGCCAGCTCCCAGCCCCGGCCCCGAGCACTTCACCTTCCCAGGGTCCACCACATCCTTCACTGGTACTCGGAATGGACTCCCTGTGAGGAGGAGGAGAACATCAGCCTCTACTCATCTGCCTGGGAGGGTCTCCCTGACGCTGAGGACTCAGGAGGCAGCCTTCCTGCCTTGAGATACCCACAGTGAGGCCAGACCACCATTCAAAAATGCTTAAGAACCTTCTAAGAGAACAGAACTAAGAATAAATGAACTTGGCTATGGACTGAGGCTGGGTGAACTTTCCCATATGGGCTAAGGGTCAGGAAGTATGTCCTCCTAACAATAAAATGTTAAGATGTTTTTCGCAGCCAGTGACAATGACCTGGACCATCTGAGTGGCCAAGCCTCTTGAGTGGACTTGCATGACTGAAGTCCGACACTCTAGGCAAGGGCTGCTGGGAATGAGCGGGAGGGGCTGTCACACCCACAGCACCCCTGCCCCGCCTCCCAGCCAGGCCTCAGCACCCCCAGGCTTCCTTCCTGCCATCTGCACTTCTGCCTCTACCTGCTCCAGGGTGCCCCTCTGCCAATCTCCACACCCAGCTGCCCTCTCCCACCACCCCACCCCTCTGTGCACCTGGGATGGGCCGCCCCCCGAAGGTGATGTTGACGTCATAGTCTCCAGGGGTGAAGGGGATGTACTCCACGGTGCAGCTGCCATCCTTGTTGTCCTTGCAGGACATCTTGGCTTCCGAAGGGCCCTCAATGGCTAGGCCTAGGCCTCCGGTGCCTGCTCCCCTGCAAGATGACACCCCCACCCTTCTGCTAGGACCAGTGAGTGTGGAATGGCGGGGGTTGCAGGAAAAGGGAGGAGAATGAGAGCAGGCAGCTGGGGCCCGGCAGGGGCGGGATGAGCTACGAGGCGACTGGGAGACTACGGGAGGTTTTGCCCCCTAGAGGGTTGAGATGGGGTGGACACAGACAGAAGGACAGATGGGAGAGACAAGATCAAGGCGGCCACAGACTCAGGTCTAGGTTAGGGAAGGGTGAAGATACCTGGTTTCCACAGTGAAGCGGTTGGACTTGTTGACCAGGCCACTCTCTAGGCCTGGCCCAAAGGCCCGGACTCGGGTGGGGTCACAGCCTTCAGTCACGCCCACTCGGAAGGGGCTCTTGGGCACAGCCACCTCATCATACAGCACCTCCACCAAATGCACTCCTGGAAGCCAGCCTCAGAGTCAGTCCGGGAGTGCGGCCCCCACCCCCCACCCTCCCGACCACGCAGGGATCAGCTCCCTGCCAGATGTGCCTCAGTCAGCCCAGCCGCTCACCCTCTTCGTAGGCCGTGTACTGCACTCGGTAGGTGCCGTCCCCATTGTCTGTCACATAGGTGTCAGTCTTAGCGCCGGAGGGGTTGAGCACACGAGCTGTCACGTGGTTGCCACCCATGGCTGTCAAGGATCTTGCGTCCACAGTGAACTCAGTGGTCACTTCCCGCAGGACACCTGGATCCCAGAGAGGCATTCTCAGCACAGGTACTCAGCCCTAATCTCCCAAGTGGAGCCCAGCCACCCCCTCTGTCCCCTTGTTGCCCCAGGATGTTCCCACAGCTGTACATCTTTACTCCCGTCACCATTTGGTGACATTTTCTGCCCATACCAGTTGCTCCACCAGGCTGTGGGTCCTGGAGGGTAAGTCTGGGTCTCACTTGCCTCTGTCTCCCCCCTGCCCAGACCACAGTGCGGCTCCTGCAAATGGCCCCCTTGTGCTACTGTCCCTGGACTCCTATCATCTTCTGTCCCAGAGCTCGCCCTCCTGAGCAGGGTTCTTAGCTTTCCTGGGTCTGAGATCCCTAAGGTAGTAAGTGCAAAGATCACCCCCCAAAAATGCCCAGGGGCAGATGCCGTTTTGTCACAAAAGCAGAGGCCAGTGTCCACGAATGTCCATGCCCTGCTTGTCCCCCTGCACTTTCTTTGGGATGTCCAGGCCCCTGAGGATTCGGACTGCCAGAGCGCTTTCCCTGGAGCCCAGCCCGCAGCTCTGCTTCCATCCCGCCCACTGTCGTCTCCCCTCTCACGTACCATGAGGCTCCACTCCAGGCCCTGAGACCTTGACACCGCTGGTATCAACAGCTGGCTGCACATGGACGCGGGTGGGGAATTTGGGGATAGGGTGGCCGCCATACTTGATGGTGATGGTGTAGGTGCCGGGGAACGCAGGGCTGTAGGTGATGTGGTAGGTGCCATCCGCGTTGTTGTGGATCAGCACCTCGGCCTTGACGCCGGCATCGGACAGGATCTCAATGGTCAGCTCAGCTTCACCCGCCTCCGAGCAGTCCACAGTGAAGGTGGCCGCCTCGCCAACCTTGCCACGCTCCAGGCCTGGCCCGCTGGCCCGCACCTTGCTTGGGTCAAACACGGGCTGGATGGTGGCCTTGAAGGGCGAGCCTGGGATGTGGGCTTCGGCAAACAGAATGTTGATGGTGTACTCGCCGGGCTCCGTGGGCAGGTAGCTGACAGCACATGAGCCATCGCCATTGTCCTGGCACTCGATCTTGGCCTCACAGGGGCCCTCCACAGTCAGCCCCAGGCCACCTGTGCCAGCCCCTTTGGTGTCAATGGAGAACGGTGCAGGGGTGCCTACCAGGCCACCCTTGAGCCCAGGGCCGTAAGCACAGACCTAGGAGGGAGCAGGTGTGTGAGTTCCCCGTATCTGGCCTCTCCCAAGCTAACCTACCTCCATGGTGCCCCCACAAGCTGAGAACCTTCAGCTGAGCAGCTACGGCAGACTGAGTGTAAGTACTTAGAGGATGAAATATCTTGTCCTAGTTAGTGGAGCTGAGATTTAAACCAAAGCTCTTACTCCCTAAGTTGTCTACAAGGCAGGCCCTAGGGTGGAGGATAAACCTGGGCCTGGGCCCTTGGCTATGCCCACTCCTGGTGCGTAAGTCCTGCCCCTGCGCCTGATTGTCCACTTTCCCCACAAGCTCCCAGGTCCTGGCTCCAACCAACCCGTCTCCTCACCTTAGAGGGGTCGGGGGGCAGCACACCTTCCACAGCAAAGGGGCTACCAGGCACTGGGTGGCCATCATAGGTGATGTCCACCTTGTAGGGCCCCTCTTCGGGGGGCATATAACGAACTGCCTGGGCTTCCGCTCCACCCCCAGGCTCCAGTTTGCAGGGGATTGGTCTTCGGGAGGGTGAGGTCATCCGCACATCCAGCTGGCCCTGCCCACCAGCCCCTCGTGTGTTCACAGAGAATGCCTGCTCCTGCCCCACAGCCACCTCTGCATGGAACACAAGGGACACCATGAGCACAGACTCCAGCCCACCTCATCCCAACACCCCTCACTCCCAGGGTGGCTCTTGTCCCACTTACTGCTGTTGAGGCCTTGAACTTTGACTTTGCTGAGGTCCAGTGGGGGTGCCACATTCACTATAAAGGGGCTTTTGGGGACAGGATCCCCGCCGTAGGTCACTGTCACTGCCATGTTGCCCTGTTGGGTGTAATTGAAAGTCAGAACTGGGTAACTTAGCTACAGCCTGGCAGTATCCCCCGGACCTATGTGAACTCAGGCTCAGAGACACAGCAAGAGAGAGGATGCGAGGCGGGAAAGGAGCACGGACTTAGAACAGTTCTGTGAGATTGGAGGAGGGGTTCCAGGTCCCCCGTTACACGCAAGAATGGGACGCACCTGCTGCACAGCCGTGTACTTGACGGTGTAGGAGTAGTCATGGTTGTCTATGATTTCAAAGTCCCGCACAACCTCGCCCTTGGCTGCCCCAGCGAAGTGCACGTCCAGCTTGGCCTTGCCAGCTCCCTTGGTCAGCACCGTGAAGTGAGTGGGCTTCCCGACTTCCACACCTGGGAGGCCACCCAGAGATGGTGGTGAGGCCCAGCCCCAAGCTCAACCTCACACCGGCCCCACTGCCTCCAGACACCTACCTGTACGGTTCAGCCCAGGACCCTCAGCCTTGACCTTGCTGGCGTCGTGGGATGGGTCCACCTTGATGTGGAAGGGGCTGGCGGGGATCTCCTAGATGTGGAAAGGGCCTGGTCACAGCTCTACCTAGATCACCTCTTGTGCCAGGTTGGACGCTGGTCAAAATGGCAGCAGATGAGTATGGACAAGGATGGTCTCTGCACAGCCCTTGTATGTCCTCTTGGCCCAAGTGCCCACACACAGGGAAGGGTCTGCATAACTGTCCCTCCTGCCCCCGAAACCATGCACTGCCAGCTGCCCGCATAGACCTCTAACATGTGGGCCACTGTGACTACCAACAGCAGAAGGTTGAGGTACCTGGTTGGCAAACAGCACCATGATGGTGTAGTGACCAGCGCCTGGGGGTGTGTACTTGACTGTGAAGGTGTCATTGTCATTCTTGATGATGTCAAAGTCAATGTCAGCCTCCGCAGGTCCCACCACACCAGGGGCGCACTTGATGCCAATGCTCACGTCACCTGAGGGGGCAGGAGGAGGCCTGAGCGGGGCCCAAATCCTCCCTCACCTGCCAGTCACAGGATCCTGCTGGAGCCCAAGCCTCCTCCCGCTCTGACCCGACCCTGCGCATGTGCGCACCTTGCCCGGCTTCGCTGCAGTCCACAGTGAAGTAAGTGGGCTCATTGGCCTTGAGGCCTGTCTTCTCCACTCCAGGGCCGTACACCTTTACCCGCTCGGGGTGACTGCCTTCGCCCACGTTCACCTGTGGGCAGGGGTCAGCGCTCAGCTCGGTGCCCCCCCTCAAGTCCCATCCTCCTCCCAGCACCACCTGTCCCAGCCTGATGGATCGGTTTTAGCCTCTTTGAGGGATCTTTGGGATGGGGAGGGGCTGCAGAGGCCCGGGAACACCCATCCCTTCCCTGTTGAATGGAGCCCACCTCCCTCTTGGGGGCCCTGGTAGTGGGCATGGGGCAAGCCTGGAGGACGCACTCTGAAGGGGCTCTTGGGTACGTTGACCCCTCCCCAGGAGACGATGATGGTGTGCTTGATGGGCTTGGTGGGCACGTAGGAGCAGCGGAAGGTGCCGTCACCGTTGGGGATCACCTTGATGTCGATGGGGCAGCCATCTGCGTCCTGTGGGCATCACCCAAGCACGGCTGTTAGTGCCTGTGGCTGCCTGTGAGGACCTCAGCGCACCCTCTGCCAGCAGCAGGCAGCCTCGACACCTCTCCTTTCCTACCCACTGACACACTGGTGCCTCGCCTGCCCCTGACATCAGCCTAGTGCCACGTGCTCTGGTGGCCAGGGCGCCTAGAAACCAGGAGACCTGGCTCAAGGCCACCTGTGTGGCCTGCTTTCCCAATCTAGCTTTCTTCATCTCTGAAATATGTCAGTGAGGGAGCAGCAGGGTGAAATCAGTGCTCCTAAAATTGAGTCATCATCTCCTTGGAGCCTCAAGAAAATGCTCATTAACCTCTAGGGGTCAATGGACACAGCTTTGAGAAAATGAAACCAGTGTCCCAAAATTCGTAGAATCATCCTTCAAATGTAAATTATTAGTAAAAAAAAAAATGAGTTTTGGATAAAATGTGGTTCTAAGATTACCATGAGTAAGAAAACAAGTTGTAAATTTTTCATTCTACTTATGGACCCATGCATGAGACCCAGTCCTACCTATTTCAATGTGGCAACCTTCCTTCTAGAGGCCCTGCCGGGGGTAGTGGGGCCAGCAGAGCCTGGATGGCACCCACCTGGGCATAGAGCTTCAGGTCCCCCTTGCCAGCTGCTCGGGCATCGATGGTGAACTCGGCAGGCTTGTCTACGATGCAGCCAGTGGGCTCCAGGCCAGGCCCAAAGGCCTTCACCTGGACAGAGCAGGAGAAGAGAGCTGGGCTGGGATCTGGCGGAGCCCTGGCTCACTACCTCCCATCCCAGCTGTGTGCAGGAGCTGGGTTCGCACCTTGTCTGGGAAGCAGTCTGGTGGGGCTGGCTGGATGTGGGCAATGAAAGGCGAGTCGCGGATGTCCTCGTCATCACAGATGACGTGCACAGCGTACTCGCCAGGCTCTGTGGGCCAGTACCGCACGTCGCAGGAGCCGTCGCCCTTGTCGTCACACTCGATCTTGGCCTGTGAGGGCCCCTCGATGGAGAAGCCTGGGGGAGAAGCAGAGCGTCAGCGGGTATAAGAGACAGCTTGGATACTTAGGCGGGGTTCCCATCCCTCCCCACAGCAGCTGCCATGTCTCCCTAGCACCCCATCTCCCTGCTCATCCTGACAATCCCCAGTGCTCCCACGCTCTGTCCCCAGCCACTCCGCAGTGTCCCTCCAAGATGTCACACCTCTCCCTAGTATCCCCACCTCTGGCACCCGGCCACTTACCCAGCGTCCCCACTTCTGTCCCAATGGCCTCCACCACAAAGTCAGCTGACTTGCCCACCTGGCCAGTCTCCAAGCCAGGGCCCCAGGCCCGCACCTTCTGTGTCCCTGCCTCTGGGCTCACCTGGACCTCGAAGGGGCTAGGGCAAAGAGTGAGCCCCGTCAGTGCTGGCAAGTGCTCCTCCCTCCTCCCCACTCTCACCCCTGCAGCTTGCCTCCTGTCCTCTCGCCGCGTGACGGCTCAAACGGCTCTTACCTTCGGGGGATGGCATAGCCGCCCCATGTGATGGTCACCACATACTTCCCAGGCACCACGGGGTAGTACTCGCACTCAAAGACATCGTCTCCGGCCTCCCGCACCTTTACCAGCTCCTCTGTGCCCTCTGGGGGTGGGGGCAGAAAATGTCCTGTGGGTCCCAGCTCCTCAAGCCTCCCAAGAGCGGCTTAGGATCCAGGGAGCTCAGGGCAGTGAACTATGGGCAGAGCTGAAACTCAGGGCAGGACCAGGGTCATCCCAGGGAGCCACACAAGACAGAACTAGCTCTAGTTTGCAGACTGGGAAACTGAGGCAGGCCAGAGACCATGTGCCGAGTGTGCCAACACTCCCAGTGTGCTGTGGGGCTGGTTATCATCGCCCTCAGGTTGTCGGAAGAGCTGGCCGGATTTCCTCCTCTTCCCCCGCCCGTCTCTGCACCGGCCCCAGCACTTACTTGGCCCCTTGACTGTGACCTTGAGCTCCCCACTGCCGGCACCCTTGGTGAACACCTTGAAGTCAGCCACCTCTTTCACGCGGACACCTTTGGGCTGCAGGCCTCGCCCAGAGGCACGGCAGGCGTTGGGGTTACAGGCTGAGGAGAGGAAGGAAGGGGAGGTTGGGGGTGCTGAGGAGCTCTGTCCCTGTCACTGCCCACAGTCCTTCTGACCCCCCTCCTACCAACAAGCACAGGCCATGACCCCATGCAACCCTGCCTTGTTCCCCGTTATGTCTCCCACACAACTGGGCTGCTGGCAGCCGTCTGAGCAGAGAGGTGCCCCAGGTCAGGGAGGTTACTATAAACCCTTCCTCCTGGGGTCCTCAGAGCCAGTGCCACTTGGGACCAAAAACATGACAGAGCCTGGGCTGAACTTGGGCCAAGAGAGACAGCGAGGGGCCCTTTATCCACACCAATTCCATTCATCGTGGCCTTCTCAGAGCCACCATCGCAGCCTCAGGAACCAGGTCATGCTGCAAAACACCCGGCAATGCCATGGAACCAGAGCTGTTCCATGTAACACAAAGCCTACCACAGAGCACAGGCAATGCATGGAAACCAGCCTGCGCAGGGCAAGGGCAAGAGTGGGAATCTCCGCCTGCCACAGAACACATAAAATGGCACGGTGCCCCAAGGAGCACCACAAAACAGGCAACAAGATGGAACCCAGGACCTGCCACAGAACACAAGCAGTGGCACAGAACCCAAAGCCTGCCACAGAACGCAGGCAATGGCACGGACCCTAAGCTGACCACAGAAATCATCAGGCAAATGGCAAGGAAACTGGTCTTGCCAAGGAACACAGCCAGTGGCATGGAACCTGGGGCCTGCCAAGGAATGCCACGGAACAATCCACAGCATGTGGGTCATGCCACACAACACAGGTGAGGCCAGTCAGCGATGGCTATGCCAGCCTTGCCTCCACTGGCGAGTACTAACGTGGCGCCACTCTCTTGGCCTGGTGGACGATGGGCACAGAGGGAGCAGGCGGCAGCAGGGGCACTGAGTGTAGGGAGAGAACCGGTGTGGAGCGGTCAGCTGAAGGCCTGGCAGGGAGGTGGGGTCTTACTGGTCACAAGTGTGGCCCCGCCGCTTCCCCTCAGCCTTCCCGCAGTGGCAGCTGTTGTGGTACCCTTCATTGTGGTCGCATGCCCCTCCTCTTACCCATTCCCGCCTCCCAGTGGGCAGATGATAAGGACAAAACCTCCCCAGGGCCTGACCCAGATGCTCCTTCTGCCCATCTCGGCCCTCAGCTAACTGCCCCAACCTGTGGGTTAGGTGCTGCGTTGCCCATCGATCCTCAGACCTGGAATTTGGTGGCAAGGCTTTCTGCATCCTGGCTTTGGTGAGGGTTGTTTGGGGGGTCAGTGTAAAGCCCCTTACCTTCTGCCACGTGCACAGGGAACGGACTGCGAGTGATGGGAGACCCAGCAAAGGCCACGTGCACTGTGTGTGGCCCCTCCAGCACAGGCCTGTACGTGCAGCGGAATGTGCTGTCACCCTTGTCCTCTAGGGCCAACTCCACCGTGTCCTGACGGCCCTGTGGGTCCACAATCACCACAGCAACATCGCCAGTGCCAGCGCCTGCCGTGGGCAAAGGCCATCAGGGACCATTCTGGACACACATAGCTGATCGGGGCTCCCCCACTCTGAGACCAGCCAGCCTCTGCCCAGAACCTCTGCCCAAGCCCCCGTTCACACCCCCACAGCCCACCAGGGACTGCCCACCTGACATGCCCTGGGGCCCACACATACCAGCAGTGTAGATGTCAAAGTAGGTGGGTTTGTTGGCCACATTACCCACAGGTTCCAGGCCGGGGCCACGGGCTGACACTTTGTTGGCGTCCCCGAGGGCCATGCCCACATTCACCTCAAAGGGGCTACGCTCAATGTTCTGGCCAGCAAACAGCACAGTCACCTAGGGGTCAGAGGTCAAAGATTAGCTGCTAGTGGACAGCAGTTCTGAGAGGGGCAGAGGGGCAGAGTAGAGCCAAGGAGGGCAAAAGGTGGGTGGTTGGTGCCCTGGGAGGGGTGAGTGTGGGTCAAGAGGGGTCCATTGAGTCAGAGCCATGGATGTGAAGAGCAGGGAGGGCAGGAGGGCCTACAGGAGATACCTTGTGTAATCCGGCGACCTTGGGCACATAGGAGACAGCATATGTGCGGTCCTTGTCATTGTTGGGAACCACCTTGGCCTATTGAAAAGGAAAAAGATTAGAAGTCACCGTGGTTGTGGCCCGTACTGAATCCACAGTGCCTAGGGCTCTCCAGCCCCAGACAGTCCCATGGTGACACCTTCCCAGCCTCCACAGCACACGGCTGCTCTAGAAGCCACCCCCAGGCATCTGGCTTCAATCTTATGCTAATCCCTCCATCCCCAGGGGCCCCTCCATACCTCCTCCGTATGGCCCTCAGGGTCCTCAATGTAGACCAGCACCTCACCCAACCCAGCATCCACCGTCTGCACGGTGAAGTGTGCAGGCTGCAGCACCGTGTTGCCGTGGGGCTCGATGCCTAAAGGGAGAAGCAGAATCCGTGTTACCCGGTGGAATCCCAGCCCTCCTCAGCTTCCCTGGGGAAGGCTGGCAGGGCTCCACACATACCAGGCCCGTAGGCAATAGCTTTCTTGGGGTTCAGCTGCTTGGAACGAACAGGGGCACCAGGTTTGAGCTTGGCCTTGGGGAACTGGGAGAGGTAGGTCATGACCGAATGCTCATCCACATTGGGGTCCACAATCTCCTCAGGGGCAATCACCTGCATGGAGAGGAACGGTGTTCTCATGGCACCCTCCTTAGCCAGCAGCCTCAGTTCCCACCTGCATCCTGCCATGCATCCTTACAGGCCAGCCTGTGGCTCTGCTCCCCCATCCCTCATGCCTCACATACCCTCCCATCTGCCAGTGTACCTGGGGCACCCCGAGCCAGTCGTCCGCCTGTTGCATGGCTTCTCGGGCGTTCTGCACAGGCTGGTTGGGATCCCAGGCCTCCCAGTCCGGGCAGAGGCCTGGAGAGATGGTGGAAACAGTCAAAAGTTAGGGGAAACCAGCCAGCAAGACGCTGAGTGTTTGTTCTCTCTACGCCTTCAGAGGCTGCAGCGTTCATACCCTTCCTGGCCAGCTTGAGGCCCCTGACCAGCCAGGTCCCCGCTGTCTCCTGATGTCGCAGCCCATCCGCTGGGATCCCAAATGAAGCCCAGCAGCCCTCACTAGCACCAACAATGAAGGCTTTCTGCCCCGGCTGACGCAGCCTGGCACCAGCCCTGCTAGCCGGCCTCTTGCCTGCCCAGGACCCAGCAGAGACCCCGAACACCAAGCCCCCATGAGGGACCCTTGCCAAACCTCTTTTGCCTTATTCAGGCTACTTCAGGGGTATGGGGGGGAGGCCAAAGCTCCATCCCACACAGCCTCTGACCTATCCTCTCAAGCTGCAGCCCCAGCTCTCTAAGCCTCTCTTGCACCAGGCCCAGGCATAAGAATCCCTCTCCCTTCCTGACTGCCTTGGAAGCGGGTGAGTTGTCTTCCACTGCCACAAGGAGCCCAGCCTCCTAGCAGAAAAAAATGCTGATGCAGCCTAGATCACACTGTGAAGCCTTGACGCTGCACAGGGTCAGGGATGCTTGGTCCAGAGCTGGGGGGGCGCCTTGTGCATTAGTGGGGAGGGGGCCGCTCAAAGGCTGGAATCCATGACTGGCTGGAACAGCTGAGCTCACTGCTGGCAGCCACACCATCTGTGGGCAGTGGCTCAGCAGCTGGGAATGCTTCCCAGGCAGCGTGCCCCCACCTCCCACCCCCTGCTCCCTGGCTGACCCTCGGGTGGGGGTGGGATTCCCCAAAGGGGCTGCGGCTCCTCAGGCGGTTGAAGGTGGAAGACCTCTCTCCTCAGGAAATAAAGACCAAGAAGGAGCTGCGTGCGGGGTAGGGCCTGGGCCTACACAGCTTCAGTTTTCTGAGGGCCCTGATCTGTTCCTGCCTGGTTAGGTCAGGGCCCACACCCAGAGGGGGCAGGGTTGGGTCACCTGCCCCTGGACAGTACAGCGCTGCCTCTGCCCACATCATCCTAGGCCTCAACCCCTTCTCAAACTCTTCCAGGGCCTCACCAAGAAGAGCCTGCCCTTGGTCTAACTCTGGGCTTTCTTGCTACATGTCCCACTGCACTTCCCTTCTCTCTGCTCAGAAGGGGTGGCACCCATGTGGCAAAGCAGGGAAGTAAGGCTCTGGCCTCCAGGTGTAAGCCGTGTGATCACTGACAACTCCCAGCCCTGTCTGAACCTTGCTGCCTGGGCCTGTAGAATGAGGTATTTTAAATCTTTTCCTGCCTCTGCAGCATCAGGCCCACCCACTGGTCCAGCCTGACTCCAGCAGTGATTCTTGGTAGGGGGAGGAACACATTCCATGGTGCTCCTGATCCCTGGCAACTCCCAGCCTCCCCTTGTTTCCACTGTCCTTCTTGGCTGAGGGTTTCCTGGGTGCCTGCTTGGCCTACTCACCAGGGGCACAGTTGTCCACCAGGGCACCCAGGGCCTTGCCGTCCTGCCAGTCACGGTTGAAGTTGGTGATGGGCAGCTGGGGCACCTTGTTCTGGATCCAACCAAGCAGACGCTGCTTGGGTGTCTGTTTGCGGGCATCCTCATCATCCTCATCCTCCCACATGGGCATGGAGATGGAGTAGTGCAGGATCAGCGTCCATATCAAGCCCAGGATCAGCTTTAGATTCCCATCCACAATGGCCTTGCTGTCTGCAGAATGGAGGGAACAAGCTGGCTCAGGAAGGTCCCACCCTGCACCACACCTCTGCCCTGAGTGCCCACCCACACCTGCCCAGCTTCTGGGGCAGCTGCTAGAGTGCCAGGGTCAGGCCCTTACCTCCAGGACCTGCCCGCTTCTTTGCCTACTAAATTCTCTCTGACCAGGCCTGGTCCACTTGTCAAGTCCTCTGCCCCCCATAGTACCTTTACCTCTTGAGTACCTTCAGTACCTTCAGGCTGTCTTCAATCTAAGCCATCCTCCCATTCTGGCCCTCTTAAACCACAGGCCTCTTAGGGACAGACACTTTTTTTTTAAGTCATTTTATCGACATATAACAAACTGCACATATTAAAGCGCAGTTGGATAAGCCTTGACACTAAGCATGTACCCACAAAGCCACTGCCACAAATCAAGAATAATTAGCATGGCCAGCACTCCCCAAATTTCCTTGTATATAACCTTTCTTCCTGATCTGTTCTCTATTATGGTAAATTAGTTTGTATTTTCTAGAAGTTTATATAAATAGGATCATAGAATCACCTTTGTTGGGGGGCAGGTCTGACTTTTTTTTTTGTCTTTTTGAGACAAAGTCTCACTGTGCAGTTCAGGCTGGCCTTGAGCTCACTTTGTAGCCTAGGCTGGCCTCGAACTTGCAACAATCCTCCTGCCTCAGCCTCCCAAGTGCTGGGATTACAGGTGTGCACCACCACACCCAGCTAACTTCTTTTTTTTTTTTGAGACAGAGTCTCACTATGTGGCCCAGGCTGGCCTCGAACTCATAGTGATCCTCCTGCCTCAGCCTCCCTAGTGCTGGGTTTATAGGTGTATGCCACCACACCTGGCCTGACTTTTCACTCTAGACCCTGAGTTTTCTCTTCTACACTGAGTGCCTAGAATTTAGCAGGATCTCAATAAAAGTGATTGAATATTTTGAAAGTTTAAATTAGAGAGGAATGGAACCAGTGCTATTCCACCCACAATCTACTCCAGAGGCCCTAAGAGCCTTAGGAACAAAGGAATTCTGGGAGGAGGGATAGGCACAGCACACGGTCAGCTAAGGTGTGAAAGTCACGTTGCCAAATGCTGGGCATCAGTGGGATCTCAGAAAAGCCAGGAGAAGGAACTGTCATCCGTGTGTGTGTGTGTGTGTGTGGGTGTGTGAAGTCTCAGGCTGAGACACACTCTACCCATCACCACCTAATACTTTGGATCAGAACTAGCTCCCCAAGATTTCAGAGCCCCAGTTCCCCTTTAGCAGTCAGAGGGAACTATCCAGGAGGGGAGGGGGCTAGAGTGCAGGTTCTGGAATCCAGCCTGTTGTGAAGTACAACGCAGGCCTGAAGTCCATCTGCTTCTCTAAGCACTAGCTGCTTTAAGAGGCTGGGAGGGGGCACAGACTCAGTCTTGTTTACTGATGTTGCCTGAGAGATGGGAGAAGGTGGGGCTGGAGACTTCCACCTTATACATCTTTTCTTGTTCTCCTCTCCCAGGCCCTGGGGAAGGATGTTAGAAGACAAAGGCGGGGGACCCCTGACACCTCCACTCCACCCCCGCCTGCCCCCAAGAAGGAATCCTGGTCTTTCTGGGTTCTGGGCTCCCCCACCCTGCCACTGATTCATCCTTCCTTCCCCAGCAGCTCCTGCACCCGCCCCTTTCCCCTGGCTTCACTGCAGCACAATGCTTTGGCAGCGCTTGGATTCCATGACAAACTCACTGCCGGCCTCTGGTGCTTTCTTTCACTCTCGCTCACACACAAGCCCACACCACTTTCACACAGTCTGGCCGCCCCCGTGCCCCCAGCCTCTCAGCCCTGACAGCCGCCAAAGCTGGGGACTGCGCATCCAGAAGTGCTCCTTGCGAACTGAAGTCACACTCCTGGGAGGCCTCGAAGCCTGGGGCTGGGAGGCGGTGAGGGGTGGAGAAGGGGTCATTCATGTTTGCTGGACAGAGAGGCTTCGCCCTAGCAACTGGCCCTGGGCCAGACAGCAAGTGGTCCATGGCCTGGGGCAGGATGGGGACAGCAGGCTCCAGTCCCACCCTGGGAGCAATGACCTTCCTCTCTCCTCCCCTTGGGAGCCAGGCAGAGGCAGGAGCTCAAACCCAAGCTGCTTCCTGGAGCAGCACCCCACTGAGCCATGCTTGCCAGTTCGCCCTAGAGGAGCCGGAGCAGGCTGACAGCTTGTCCCATGGCCGACAGCTCGTCCCAGGGCCGACACACCGCCTCTAGTGGAGAGAAGGGGCGGGCTGGGCAGAGGGAGGTGCTGGGACAGCTGCTGCCCCCTCAGCCCCTCCTGGCTGTTGGCTCCAGGAGAAGGAATAGCAACTGGGGAACAGCTGCGGGAGAGAGAGCCGCCTCATAGGCCTCTTTGTTCCGAGGGGCTGAGGGGGCAGTGGGGGCCCAGAAGGGGGTGCTGGGGAGAAGAAGGGCTTCAGCTCCTTCCATCTGGGCGGGGACTCCTCTTGCAGGTGGACTTGGAAAAGCCCTACCTCCCTGCTCCTACCCCAAACCCTGACTTCCTGTCTAGAAAGAGAAGTGGGGGGTTTTTATGACACCCCCAAATGCCCAGATGCTTAGTTTCAGACCTGACACAATGTCCTGCAGAAGGCCTGTGGATGGCCTCTCCCCGGCACTCAATAGGACCCAGGGAACTAGAGGAAGCAGCACACTCCCTCCTTGCAGGTAGCTCTTTACATATGGGGGTCTCCAACCAACGGGTGTCAGTGCCCCTCTCCTGCAGCCGCAGCCCTGGTCCGACAGCTGAACTGCTGACAGCTTATCTCAGCAGTGAGTGAGCCTCCCAGTCCACGGGGGCACAGCTCCCCTTCCTCCCAGCAGGAGCCCTGGGAGCTTCCCTCCCACCCCCAAACGGCTCTGGCTTCTTTCCCCTGGCCTCGGAGCTGGCCCCTCCACAGCTGAGCCAAGGGGGCCGGAGCCAGGCACCGCCGTGGGGGAGGGGAGAGGTGCGCCGGTGAGGGATGAGGCCTGGAGAGGGGCCCGGCCACCCCCGCAGCCCCAGCGGCAGCCGGAGGGAGGGGAGGCTGAGCAGTTTCCTATAACGTCTCGCAGAGGCCCCGGCTTTCCCCTGGAGACCCCACCTGGGACAGTCTGTCCTGCCTTTCCATCCCAGCACGGAGGGGGATGACAGACAGCCCCAGGACTGCCTCTCACCCCCCACCCTCTCCTCACCCCCACCCCTCAACCTCACCACTCACACCAGGGCCCCTCCCCCACCCCTTGCCCTCAGGCTTGTCCTTCTGGAAAGCTCAGAGACATCTGCTGTGTCACGGAGACAGGGCTAGTTCCAGGCCAGGGCTGGCGGGTGGGGGCAAATACTGGGGCAAGAGGAGGTAAGGCCTAGGGAGGGGACTGGACAGGGCAAAGGGCCCCAGGACTGACCTCAGCTGCTAATTCAGGAGGCTTGGAGATGGCCCTGAGGGAGAGTGGGGGTGGCCAGGCAGCCAGTTACCTAGTCAAGGCTCTGAGGGGGTGGGCACTGGCCCTTTGTGCAACTCCCCTCCTGGAGCCCTAGGAAGCACCCAAGGGATCCCCTGTAAATCACACCAGGGCTCTTGAAAGCTCATCACAGCTGTGGGAGGAGGGTCTGCTGCAGGGCCCCTGCCTGCCAGGATGGAGGAGGGGATGTGAGGGGCAGGGCAGCCTCTTACCACCCAAAGCCCACCCTGGGCCAGTGGGATGGAGGCTGGAGGCCTCCCCACCTCCACCCAGCATGGACACACCTTCCAAATCTGGTTACACTCAATGATTTCCTCCCTTCCACAGGCCATCCCCTCCCTCCCAAGCCCAGACTGTTAGTTGCAGCCAATCCCAGGCATAGGGTGTGGGCAGGCGCAGGGCCCCCACGCCGAGGAGCCCCCCTGGGCAGGCCGGAGCAGGAGGAGGGCAGGCAAGGGTTAAGCTGCCTGCACTGCTCAGTGCCTTTTTAGGTTTCTGAGAATGGGCCCTGCCTGCCCCAGCCCAGGCCTGACCCAGCTGCTGAGCAGAGCCTGAGCAGAGCCTGAGCACAGCCTTGGTGGTGCTGCCTGGCCGCCAGCTCTCCCCGGCCTCAGGGCTGGGGTGCCCGGGCTGGGGGTGTGTGGCTGGGACCTGTCTGCAGTCCACTCCTTCCCCGTGGAGGGGATGGGAAGCCATTTACTTTGTTGGCGTGGGATAAATGTCCCCCAAATCAGTCATCTCCTCTCAAGCACTCATGGAGACTGCCCAGTAAAAAGAAGGGGACAATGAATGGCCCCAGGTTGGTGGGAGGCTAGGGGAGGCTGTGCTGCAGGGAGCAGAAAGGGTAGGGTCTAGGCTTTCCCGGCCACCTAGGGAGGGTCTCTTGTCCACTGAGGCTGAAGGCAGTGGCAGGGTAGCTGCGCCAGTTCAGGAGAGGCAGACCCCAGGGCCCCTCCGGTCCCAGGGGGCCCTCCCTTTCCCATCTCTCAGCTCCCCATGGGCCCGCTCGGCACCTCTGTCCCTGATCCTAAGGGACAGGCCCACCCCGCTGTGACCATGCCCACACTGACCGATGGACACGAGTTTGATGTGCTCGCGCTCCAGAAACTCAAGGGCCACGGACACGTTCTCCAGCTTCATCTGGCGGAAGTTGGGGCGCGGGTGGAACTTGCGGTACATGCGCTTCTGGCTGAGCACCTCGAGCAGGGCGATGAGCCGCAGCCCGTCGCTGAGGTCGCGCTGCAGGTCGGTGAGGCGCTTGCCCACGCACTTGAGGTGCTCGTTGCACCAGCGCGTGAACGTGTTCTGCTGAATCTTCTTCCACGGCGCGTCCTCGGCCAAGTCCTTCTCGGTGGACGGCATCTCGTCCGCCTCCTCTCCCAGGCCAAAGCCGGAGGCGTCCGGGTAGCCGCTGTTGTTCATCATGCTGTCGGGTCGGCGGTTGGGGCTGCACGGCTGGGGGTTCGGGGTGTGGGTGCTGTCGGGTCGCTACCGCGGGACTCTGCGCTGCGCTGCGCTCCTCTTCAACTTCTCTGCGCCCTGACTGGCGGGGCTCCGGGCCTCTCGCTGCTCTGCTCGCTGTCTCCCTCCGGGGCGGAGCGGTGCTCGGGAAGTGCGGGCCGGGCCGTGGTGGGGGGTTTAAGAAGCCCCGGGGCAGCTGCCCCCCCTTCGGCGCCCGCAGCCCCCGGGTCCACGTCAGAGCGCCGGCCTCCCAGGAATGCCGCCCGGCCCGCGGGTGGGGGCCGCGCCGAGCCCCACGGCCCCGCCCCGCCGCCCCTCCTCCACACTGCCCAGCGAGCAGCGGGACGGGTCACCCACCTGCCCACTCACTCGGCCGGCGGCCCCAGTGCGGGAAGGTGGGGTGAAGGCGGTAGTCCCCGTGTGCGCCTAACACCCCAAAACTAATCACGATCACCCAGGATTGAAATATGCTCCCTGAACACCCAGAAGGGATTAGAGAGATAAAGGGAGAAACTGAGGCCAGTGGCTAAGGCTACACGCATTGATCTGGTGTTGACAGAATTTTCTGGACATGTCCAGGTTGTTGACAGGGCCCGGGAGTCCTGGCTTCTAGCCGGGGTATTGTCCACCTGTGACAGGGACGGAAGTGCTGTGCTTGTGCAGAGAGGCCCAGAGAGGAAGCTGGGACATTGCCCAGGCCAGTTAGGGAGAAGGCTTTGGGGGTGCCGCCCCTCATTGCTCCACTTTGCTGATAAAAAAGCTTCATTTAGTGCCCAAACCCAGGGTCCCAGGGGACAGAGGCTCCTGCCCCTGACTCAGTGTCCCTGTGACCAGCCATTTGGCTCATTGTCTCAGAAGGAAGCTGAGCTCAGGGAAAAGATGCCCAGTGAGTCACAGTGTGTGCCCCCCCCAGGCTGACTCAACCAAGGTGATGAGAGGGGTGCCCCTGGGCAATGTGCCACGGGGCAGGTCCTCCTAGGGAAAGGGTGAGCTCGCCAGACGGAAGCAGGGAGAGCCCTGGTGGGGCAGCCAAGGGGAAACGTGCGGGGAGGAGGGAGGCAGGGACAGGGTTAGAGAAGGCGGGAAGAGCGGAGGGAGCCAGGATGGACGCCTGGGCAGCTAGAGGTGTGGGGAATGGTAACAGGAGGGAAACTGAGGCATTCAGATGAAGGAGCCTGCCTGGGAGAGAAGGAAAGAGCTACAGAAGATATTTACATCAGGAGAACACACATTTGGTATTTGTGTATTACGCATGTATTCCATACCTCCTTCACTGCTTTAGCCCATGTTCCCTGTCCTTTCCCTTTCCATTTACAGCTGGTAAGCTCAACTGGGGAGGACACCACGTCTGAGTCTGAGAAGTTTCTTCAAGCTGGACAATCCCCAACTCAAGCAACATGATGACTGAGACTTGGGAAGATTCTGGAACTTTATAGGTGAATCATTCTATCTTACTCCTTTCCTCCTCTGAGGCCTGGTGAACACAAAGGGAATGGTGCACATCTCTGGGAACTCATTCTTCAAGGACAGAGCGAGGGCAGTCCCCATCACGGACCGAGAAAGAAGTTTAGGGATTTTGTGGGGGCAGTGCTAATCAGGACAGGGTCCAGGAATCATTTCTTCCCCTTCTCAAGTACTCCTTTAATGAGATTGCCTGTTCTGTAGGTAGGAAAGGGGAGGAGTAGAGAAGGAACCAGAAACAGAAAAGAGACCTGCTGTACATGGCGGGGGGGGGGGGGGGGGGCAGGGGCAGAGGCCCTGATAGTGACAGGCAAGGTATAAATAGCCTGGACTCTGCAGCTCATGTTCTGTCGGCTGCCTGTGACGAGGTGCTCAGGAATTCCACTCTCCTGTTGGCAACCCTCTCTCCTCCTCTGTGGAACACTCACTCTCCCCAAGCCACCTTCATCCACGGCCAACACCACCCATCAGCACCAGGGATGTCTACTTGAGAGGCTGAGCCCTTCCATGGAGAGATGCTCAGCTTGGGGTGCACAGCTGGGCCTCACAGGGAATTTGTGTGTGTGTGTGTGTGTGTGTATGTGTAAAAGTAGCCATCTGACGGCCAACCTGAGGTACCAAGAGCCCAGAGTTCCCAAGTGTTGTATTGAATCTTTGATGAGGAAACTGAGGTACAGATATGAGAACTACTGGGGAGGTGAGGGGCATAATCAGGTATCTTGGAGCTGACAGCTCCTTCACAGACCCTGATGGCTCACAGTCTTGTCTGGTGGGCATTATCAGGACCACCAGTAGTTAAAGGCCTCTGCTGAGGTGGGAGGGTTCAGAGGGAAACGCGCAAGGGAGAAAGAATTGCGAGGGTGGCCTCCTGTGCTCTCCTTCTTTGACTCATTATCTCACTCCAGGAGAGAGCAGCGTGCTGCCTCAGAGGAGCAATGAATGGCCGGCAGGGCAGGGTGCAGAGTGCCAGTGGATGATGGTTCCTGTCACCCCGCTCCTGAAACTTGAGTCTGTTGCTCTCCAGGATAAATCGGGGCCTGAGTCAGGCCCCAGCAGCCAGTCGGTCAGCCTACCCAGGCACAGGCTGGTGACTCAGCCCTCAATATAGCCCATGAGCCCAGGCCCGGCCATGCAGGCCCAGAACAGACCGTGCGCAATGCTGTCCAGGGCCTGCCAAGTGAGGCCCCCTCCCTGAGGAGAGCTAATGTGCTTCTCCGCAAGCCAGGCAGGGGTACAGAGAGGGGCTTACAGGGGGTTTCATCAGCTGAGTATGTGGGGCAGCACTGGCTGGGTCCACAGGCCGTTTATAACCCCCTGACTCACCACCCGCTGACCTATCTCAGGAGACCAGGTTGTCTGGCTTTCACCTGGGACTGCCTCTCCCAATGACAAGTGCTGCTTGTCAGCCACCAACGTTAGCCATATTTAACTTGGGCTGAACTGAATCTGCCTGAACAGGTGCAATGGGCCATGTTTGAAATTTTTCTTTTCCTGAAGCCAGGGACAGGGACATACCCACAGTTACCTGTGATGATTCCTGGCTGGCAAGAATTACAGCAGGCACTTTGACAATCAGTGACACTAACTGTGGCTCTGACCTGGGTGCCAGGGACAGTGCGGTAGAGTAGAAAGAGCCACAGGCTGAATTACAGCCGTCCCACTTCTAGTTCTGTCCCTTTGGACAGGTTATGTGACTCTTTAGGGCCTCCATTATTTTCATGTATAAAATGGGATTATAATATTCTTTTTTTTTTTTTTTTTTTGGTTTTTCTCCGGTACTGGGAACTGAACTCACGACCTTGCGCTTGCCAGGAAGGCGCTTTTGCCGCTGAGCTAAATCCCCAGCCCTGGGATTATAATATTCTTAATAGGGATTTAAACACATGTATGGAGAATATATGAAAGACAACTAGCATGGTACCCGGTACCCAACAGGGAATGGGAAAATCTGCTTCCTCTGTTGGTGTCTGGGGTTCTGGGGAGTGAGGCCTTCCCTGCAGCTGTGTCCAGAGCCAGAGCCCCATAGATCCACTGCCTGGATCTCCATTCTGATCCTTTTGCTCCTTCCCTACATCCCAAAACTCTGCCTGTCAGAATCAGAACCAGTGGTACAGGGATCCTTAGGAGATCTCACCCTGCCCCCAGCAGCAGCTGGTCCTTGGCAGAAGTGGCAGGTGGAGGGTGGGGCAGAGACAACAGAGGGGCCCAGCCTGCAGGGAGGAGGTCAAAAGCAGGCAGTTTTGCAGAGACCAATATCTAAGAGAGATGGAGGCTCCTGAAGGTGTCTGGGGTCCTTGGCTCTTGTCATACCTACGCTGGGGTACGTACCTACTCATGGTTTCTAGGACATATCTCTGCAGCCTTAGAATCAGCGACTTCTCCCTCACTTTGAAAGCTGGTGAATGTTTCATATTTAACAAAAGAGACCTTTTTGCAAGCTTTGATAATAATCTGGATCAACAAGACAAGGAAGCACCAATTCAAGCCCAATGGAGAGGACGAGATTCTAAACTGAGCCGAGGGAAAATGCTCTACAGGAAAGGGTCTTCTGTTTTCTAAGCAGGAGGCTGGGGAAGGCAGGCCTACATTCCTGTCGTTACCCAGGCTTTAGGTTCAGGTCCCCGCATGAGACAAACTGCCTACCAGAACCTGGCCTCCATCCTGGTGTCTAATTCCATGTTGAATCCATGATCCTTGATGTCTTTGTCTGAACTGCTGTAACAAAATATCACAAACTAGAGGGCTTAGAAACAACAGAAATTTACTTCTCACAGCTCTGCTGGCTGCAAAGCCCAAGGTCAAGTCACCTGCAGATTCCTTGTCTGGTGAGGAGCCCCTTCCTCCATGGTCTCCCTGTGACTTCTCATGGCAGGAAGGCTGAGGGATCTTTCTGGAGTCTCTTTCATTGAAGGTGCTAATCCTACTCATGAAGGCTCTTCCCTAACTCTTAATAGGGGTCTAGGGTTGCAATCTGAATTCTGGGGGACACAAACATTCAGACTATGGTCTTGGCTATACTCTTCCACACATTCCTGTTACATGTTTTCCAGGCAACTGGTGGCAGAGTAAAGTAGATAAAAAGCAGGCTCTCACTACCTGAAAAGCTAGTGACCACTAGCCCTAGGTAACTTGGAAGTTCTATTTTATTTTTTGTTGTTTTGAGACAGGGTCTTGTTATGTATTGCAGGCTGGCCTGGAACTCATTATGTAGTCCAGGCTAGCCTCAAACTCACCTCAATCCTCCTTTCTCAGCCTTCCGGGTACTGCGATTACAGGCGTGCACCACCAAGGTTGGCTAGGAATTTCTCAAATTAGGTTACAACTGAGAAAGTAATCGGGAGGGCAGTGCTTCCCAAGATTTACTGGGCTTACTAATCAGCTGGGTGTGTTAGAAAGCAGATTCTGTGTCAGGAGGCCTGAGATTCCTGTAAGGTCCAGATGTGGAGACTGTTCATCCTTGGGCCACGTAGTAGCAAGGGGTAGTCTGTAGCTTTTCCCTGTAGACTACCCAACATAAGGATGACCTTCAAAGAGGAGTCACTTGTAATCCCAGCATTTAAGGAGGTTAAGGCAGGAGAATCACCGTGTGTTAGAGGGTAGCTTGGGCTACACAGTGAGTTTGAGGCCAGCTTGGACTACAGAGTGAGACCCTGTCTCAAAAAACAAACAAGTCACTCAGAGGCAGAGGGGACTGTTGCCTGGTTGTAGCCGCCTGGCCATGATGTCAGTATGGCCTCACGCTGAGGAGCTTTACTCAGCTCAGCCTTGTCACTTCTCTGGGCCATGTACAATTTGAAAGGTTCT